TAGTCCCTTCCTCTTTTTGTGTTCACTAAGCTGCAGCTGGAGTAGCCTAAGATGGAAGCTGGCAGAAGTAGCTCTCAGCTCCCTTCTCACCAGAATAGGGTAGAATGGGGAGGGAAGTGTGTCAGGTGGAGTTTTATTTACACTGACCGGATTGGAGCATCCCAGGGTGGGTCTGCTGCAGTGGAGTTTCTGAGACTGGGACTTAGGTCTAATCAGGCCCCGGGCTTGGCTGGGTGGTGACTGCTCTGGAGATGATAGAGCAACACACCCCTAGGGCCTGGCAGCTGCCAAATTCTGTCTGGGATCTGGATCCCAGGAGCTTCCTAAGAATTCCCCTCGTGGGGCCCAGGAGCCAATCCTCCACACCTTCTGCTGCCCATGAGCACAGCCTTAATCCCTGAGTGTGGTCACTCCCGCCTGTTTGGGCTCCTGACCTGCTGCAGCTGGTCAAATAAACTGCTAGACTGAAAGGGAAGCAAGCTGGACTCCCCTCTGACCTTCTGACTTGGACTGCCGGGCGTGCAGTCCTCTCTGTGCCTGTTCCACTAGTGTTCTGCTAGGTGTGCCCTAGGCTGTGTGGAGGCGCTGGCTGGGACCTGGCAGTGTCGTGTGACCTGGCTGCCCCAGCTCTGGGCTGCCAGTGTAGAAACAGCGCTGGAAGCACCAGGTCGCTGTGCAGCCTCTGGACGGGCCAGTCCAGGCTGCTGGCCTGGTATGTAGGTCTTTCCAGGCAGATTGGCCCGTGGGCTGTCTGCCTGCCTGTCACCTGCCCTGAGTGGCACCCAGTGCCCTGCTGCAGCTGGCTCAGCTCCCACAGACTCCTCCTGCCTTTGCTCAGTGTACCCAAACCGAGTCCCTAAGACACTCTGACTGTACAATATTGAAGTTTAGTGAGTCCCCTCTTCCCCCTCCTCCCTGAAAATCGGGGCTCTTCACCTGGGGGTGCAGCCTCCCTCTCGCCCGCCGTCTTGATGCTGATCGGGACTCTGGTTCCTGGTGTAAGAGCATCTCGTTTCGTTTCCACATGTCTCTGAATTTTCTAGTTTTCCTTCTGATATTGACTCGACTCTGTTGGNCTGAGCCAGTGCTGCCACCAGTGTGCAGCCGGCTGGGCTCCCGTGGAGTCGTCTTTGTTTAATGCACCCAGCTTTCTGCGTCTCTGAGACACTCTGACTGTCCAGTACTGAATTTTAGGGAAACCCAGTTTCACCCCCCTCATTGAGAGCAGGGCTCCCACTGCTTGAATCCCGAGCCACGGAGTAACCGTGGCCTCCCTCTAGTCTGCCATCTTGAAGCAGCTTTTTTTTTTTAAATTAGTGTTTGTGTGACATATATTAATGTACTTTTACCTTTAACCTGTGTCTTTTAAATTTTTCTTGGATTTCTTATAAAAAGCATATAGTTTGGTCTTGCTTTTATATGCATTCTGTCTTTTGTTATGTTTATATTGTTTTCATTTGATATAATTATTGAAATGCAGATAAGAATGTAGAAGTATGTTTTTCCTCTTTTTTGTCTGCTAATGGATTATTTTAATACTTTTTTCCCCCTGGGTTGTTGGCTTATTACTTACATGTAAAAATATTTTTTCTCTTAGTACTTGCCTTAGGGTTGATGATATAGTCTTTAATTAGAATACCTTTAAATAATAGCATACTGCTTCAGGTGCAGCATAAATTCCTTATCAGTGTTTTCCCCAGTGTTAATCACACTTACTTACTCCCTGTTCTGATCACTCCTGCTCCTCAGGGTCATCTGCGTCTGCTGATTATCACTTGATAGACTGCCCCCCTCCCTCCCAGTACTGGGAATGGAATTCAGGGCCTTGCACCTGCTAGGCAAGCATTCTGTGCTGTGTCACATTCCTAGCCATTTTTACTTCYATTTTGAGACAGGGTCTTACTGAGTTGCCCTGTGACCCTCCTGCCTGGGCCTCCTGTTTACTTGACTGCTTATTATAAGTGTTGATAAAGTATTGGGCATTGTGTGTAGGGCAGTAGGGCAAGGGTTTAGCCAGCTTCTTTTTTATTGGCACAGACAGATTTGGGAAAGCAGAGATATTCAAGGGAGAATKCGAGATGTGCCTTTGTGGTACAGCAGGGAATACACATCGAGGGGAGAAGCCAGGCCTTCTCGAGAGCAGGCAGCAGCCTCAGCCAATGCTTCCATACGGGACAGATAGTAAATATTTTGAGCTCYGTAGCCACAGATGGTCCCTGTTGCACATTGTTATTTTTTTTAAAATCCCTTTAAAATTTTAGAAGTCATTCCTATCCCAGGGTCTATTACAGAAACAGGGCATGTGCTGCACTTGGTCTTTAGATCCTATTGTACCACCCTGTAGAGGAGACTGGTGTAGGTAGGTGGGGTTTACACCTGGGAATGGCCACACTTCTGTTCTGATGTCATGTTTAGTGAGCTGGCTTTGGGTTTGGGCATTGCCATGGTTACCATCTATTCGGCTGGAGTCAAATTCCTCTAGCCTTTCCTTGAGCTCAGGAGGAGGTCTGAGTTGTAGTGTCTTCACCCTTGGCTTGTTAGCCCTCTTTATATCTGTGTCCCAGAGGGGCCTCTTGCCATCCTTTTGCTCCTGTCCCAGGTATAGTTATGAGGTATTTGCTGGCCTGCTGAGGGGGGTCATGTTGTTTTGGTTCCTCTCATGGCCACTGTGCCTGTGTGGTTTGGTGTTTCCCACAATCCTGTCCTGGTTTTGTGGTAATCATCCCATCCTGTGCCTTGGCAAGTAGAGAAGGTTTCTCATCCTTCTCCCAGAGTAGGAGGACTCCTGTGGTCTGGGCTCAGAATGGTTTCCTGCCCCTTCCTTAGGAAGGAGCAGAGTTTCTTTCATCTTCCCTCTTGTTCTTCAAGGGTGTGATGGTGTGGCGACTTTCACGGAGGGATTGTCCATCCCACTGGCTTCTTGAAATGTAGTTCTAAGAAGAAGTTGCTAGTTTTTTTTTTTTTTAATTAGGTATATATGACAGCAAAATGCATTTTGATTCATTGTACCCAATTGCAGCACAACTTTTTATTTCTCTGGCTATACACAATGTAGCTTCTTATCCTATGTGCAGCCTTACATGTATCTAGGGTAATGATGTCCATCTCATTCCACCATCTTTCCTGCCCCCATGTACCCCTTTGCCCAATCAAAGTTCCTCCATTTTCCCCATGCCTCCCCACTCCCTGTTGTGGATCAGTATCCACTTACCAGAGAGAACATTCAGTCTTTGGATTTTTGGCATTGGCTAACTTCACTTAGCATGATATTCTCCATCTCCATCCATTTACCTAAAAATACCATGATTTTATTCTCATTTTTTAAAAAAATTTATTTTTTAGTTGTACACAATACCTTTATTTGTTTATTTATGTGGTGCTAAGCATTGAACCCAGGGCCTTGCATGTGCTAGGCGAGCGCTCTATCACTGAGCAACAACCCCATTCCCCAATTTTATTCTCTTTTAATGCTGAATAATATTCCATTGTGTATATGTACCACAGGTTTTTTTTAATCCATTCATCTATTGAAGAGCATCTAGGTTGCTGCCATAGTTTTAGCTCTTGTGAATTGAGCTTTATGAACATTTGATGTGGCTGCATTACTCTAATATGCTGATTTTAAGTCCATTGGGTATAGACCGAGGAGTGGGACAGTTGGGTCAAATGGTGGTTCCATTCCAAGTTTTCTACAGAATCTCCATACTGCTTTCCAGATTGGTTGAATCAATTTGTGGTCCCACCAGCAATGTATGAGTGTGCCTTTCCCCCCACATCTTCACAAACATTTGTTGTTGTCTGTATTCTTGATAACTCCCATTCTGACTGACGTGAGATGAAATCTTAGAGAAGTTTTGATTTTCACTTCTTTAACTACTAGAGATGTTGAACATTTTTTCWTGTATTTGTTGATTGAATGTRTGTCTTCTGAGAAGTGTCTGTTCAGCTCCTTAGCCCATTTATTGATTGAGTTATTTTGTTTGTTTGTTTTGATGTTAAGTTTTTTGAGTTCTTTTTGTATCCTTGAGTGGCAGAAATTTGTATCCTGTGGGACAAAAATTTGCTCCCAAAGTGTAGACTCTCTGTACTAGTTTTGAGCCTGGCTCGAATATAGTACTGTCAAGGAGTGAATTCATGGCATGTCAAAGGTTTCCARCAGAGAAATGGCAGAGTTGGCTCCATCCTGGTGGAGATGATAGGCTTGAATTGCACTGTTTTCTTGGTCCAGCTGTTCTTTAGGGACTCTGGGAGAATTCACATGAAAATAATGGAATTCGTATGAATATTACAGCCCCTGCTATTGGGTAACTCAGTGGCCCTGCATAGAATCTCTATCTATATGTTGTCTCTGGAAGATTTACTGCAGTTCAAGTGAAAATGAAATATCTTTTAAAACAATTGTATGAATAGGCAGAACTGTAGCAAACAACAAGGAAAGTTATTGTGTTAGCTGTACATCACTGTGCAAAATACCTGAGTTTATCAACTTTAGAGGAAGAAAAAATTATTTTGACTCAAGGTTTCAAATTTTCTGTCCATGGTCACGGGCCCTGTTACTTTGGGCCTGTGATGAGGTGGTAAATCTGGTGGGAAYGTGAGGTGGAGGAGGGCTGTTCACTCATGGCAGCTGGAGAGCAAAGACTGAGGAAGGAGCTGGGGTCCCTCTGATGACCTAACCTCCTTCCACTAGGCCCCTCTCCTGAATGTTCTCCCACCTCCTTCTAGTGCTGTGGGGACCTAGCCTTCAACATGGGCCTGTGGGTGACACTTCCAAACCCCTACAGCAGCCCTCATATTTCTAGTTTTAAAATTATAATGGTTGTCATATTTGAAGGCAGACAGTTACTAAGTAGACAACGATGACTGTGTTTTATTGTGCTGATTTTACATCAAGAAGTGACTTTCTGGACTAGCCTGTGGTTTCCTCAACTGGAAAGAACCCTTGTGGGGCAGGTTATTGAGAAGTTTTTACTAACCAGAAGTGTCACCTTTTTCCTTAGATCCAGATGCAGAGGTGTGTCTTCACGTACTGAGGCTAGTCCAGTCTGTGGTTCTGGAACCAGAAGTCTTCTCCAAGTCGGCCTCCGAGTTCCGGAGCTCCCTGCCCCTGCAGCGCATCCTGGCCATGTCTGAGAGCCGCAACACCCACCTGCAGACAGCGGCCCAGGAGCTCCTGGAAGACCTCCGTGCCTTGGAGCAGGATGTATAGGTGCACTTGGCCACCAAGGGGCTTGGTGAGAATGCCAGTGTCCCTCCCCTCYCCAAGTCCCTCACTTTGTATTCAAAGCCATCACCGTGTGCTGTGTGTTAGAGACAGCTATCTGCGATGGACTAGAGATGGACGTGAATGATATGTATCCCACATCTGTGCTACCTAGAAGAGCCTTTCTTAGAGCAGTGGCTTGCTGCCCAGTGGACTACCATGACCTGTAGGTCACTGCAAAGATGGAGATTAGATAACCCTCTACCTCATGGTCAGCATTTTTCTAAGATACATTTCTTTGAAAAGCAATTCATTCTCTCTAGTAATTATAAAATCTCCAAAATGCAGGTTTACCTTTGTGACCTTTTGGTGACCTTGCTATTTCAGATGACATTGGACATTTTAGGTCTTTATTTTTTGTGCCTCTTTTATTTTTGAATAAAGAAAGTCAGATGAGTCAATGTGTGACCACTGTTATGTTCTGAAATGTACACTCAGCATTAGGAAGTGGGTCTCTTTGTGTATCAGGGTGCATATACTTGCTTGGTACAACAGACTCCTTCTTACGGTTTGTTTGTCCTTTGACTGTTAACTGAGAAGTCCAGTTTTTCTTATAAAAGACATAGGAAATGGCCTCATAGGTTAGAACACATGCGGTTAGTTGCGATTCTTTAAACCTAGCTCTGTTCCCCTTTGTGTGGGTGTGTGTGTATTAGGCTCCTGCTGTGTATGTACCCCTGTCTGTCTGCTGGTCACACCATCCAGCTTATTCGAGGCTGCTGGTTGAGGATAAAGGAGGACATTCAGCACCTCTCAGATCCCATGATGCCTGTGAGAGAGAGCTGCCATTTAAGTCAACAGCCACAGTAGGGGACATACTCTCTCTTTCTCCGGAGCTGCTTCCTTCAGTGCTTTACTGCAGGGTGCTGGACTCTGGAATTCCTGTGAGAGCTAAAACGAATGCAGATGTCCCTTTGCAGTGGCAGCCTAAACAGGCTTACAAGCTGTTCCTGCTGTGTGTGTTTGTAGAGGACCTTCATTTTCTTTTAGGTGGATTTTYAGAGACAGTATCCCATTGGTAGCTGAGGCTGAGTGCAAAGCATAGAGGGAAGGCATAGTTGCTTGGATCTCACAAGCCAGCGAGTTGTGGAGCTCCAGCTTATCAGAGCCAGGAAATGTAAAGGGCAGTTTAAGGTGCTTGGCAACAGACAAGGTCCTTCTGTCCGGTGTGGTTCTATAGGTCCCGATTACTGGCAAATAAAAATGAGGATGTTACATCTTGTTACTTTCTCTAGCATGGACAGTCATCTTTTTAGTTGCTGCTGGTTTGATAGAGTAACCAGGGGATTGACTAGTGTAGTTAGTTTGTGCTGCCTCTAGAACTACAGGGGTTTTCCTTTTAATAGTGGGGTCAGCAGTGTGTAGAGAGGGAAAGGGCCAGGCCTGTGAATGCGGCATAGTTGGTAGTTAGCAGATGGATTCTAGGAAGGACCGTTCCTTCCTCTGATTCTGAAGTGCTGTGGATAACAAGAGTTCATTGCAGTTCCCCTCAGGAGGAGGTATGGGGCAAAAGCTGGTCCTCAACCAGTGTCTCATGGACTATGCTGGAGGCCAGTCTCAAGGAATGTTTTCCTCTAGTGTCCCTGTTCTTCACAGCAAGGTCAATAGGAAAACACAGTTTCCTTAAGTTTTCTGCATCTGACAACCTAAAGCCAACCTAAAGACACTTGGTTAAAAAAAAAAAATACATAGAAGCATGTGCTTTGTATCTTTACTTTTGTGAATTTTAAAGTCAGAAACACAAGCAGAATGTTAGTGTATATTTTTTTAAATTTGACTTTCAAAGAATTCCTCATATCTTATATTAAGTTAAGGAGCACTCCCTTATTGGCACTGTCACTTGGCAGGTGAAGGTGCAGAACCAGCCTGGCCCTACCTCCCTGTGCCTTACCATCCATCTTGCTTTCTGTCAAGTACGAGAGCTGTGGTCCTTATGAAGGTGCAGAGTGCTCTGTGTCTCTGTTGCCAGGAGACCTGGCATGATCTGGGATATGCCTGGAGTTGTAGAGTCCTGCTAGCTCCATGCTGTGTCTTTCATTTATTCCAGAGGACTTCTTTGTTTCTTTTCCTTGGTACTGGGGATGGAACCCAGGGGCCTGCTGCCACTGAGCTCCATCCCCAACACTTTTTATTTTATTTTATTTTGAGACAGGTTCTTGCTAATAAGTTGCCTTGACTTATAATTCTCATGAGTCACTGGGCTCACAGACACACACCACCACACTTGTTGTTGCAGAGGATTTGTAAGTTGTGAAAGTACCAAGCACAGGTCTGTGGCCTGGAGAAAGTCAGGCCAAGGCCAAGGAGGGATTGTAGAAACAGTTGTAAATGTGCCCTCTACACTGATTTCCCCAAGTTTGCCACTACCTATTTTTGCCTAACTCTACTGTGAATTGGAAAGTTGATAAATGTTGACTTATTAATTTTCTTTTTTTTAATATTTATTAATTTTCAAAGTGTCCTGTAATTGAAGTTTGCTGGTTTCTTTGTTTTGTTTTGTTTTATGGTATAGATGCATCTTAGAARGACTCTTCTGTTCAGTGTGAAATCTTGGGTAAAGATGCACAGTGTCTGGCATCCCACAGGGCAGTGGCAAGCATATACCCCCTGAGAGGTGTTCCCAAGAATTAATCTTGTAGACCCTTGACTGTCTCTGTTCTCTGGGAGTGTGTACATTTAAATTTATCTCCAGATGTAGAATAAGAGATTGGAGTCATTTGAATATGCTGGTACATGTTACAAAAGGAAAAAGTGTTTTTCTGTTTTTTGTGATGTTACTAATGATAAAATATACCTAATGTAAAAATTGACCACCTTAACCATTATTATAGAATTCAGTGGCATTAAGTGTGTTCCAAGTGTGGAAATGTGAAAYGGCAGGCCAGCAGTCTGACTCCATCCACCAGTAACCATCACACTGTGTTAGAACTTTTTCTTCTTCCCAAGCAGAAATTCCATACCTATTAAATGATTTCCCATTCCCTAACCCTTTCTCCTTCCTCCCCTCATACTCCCTCCTGTATCTGTCTGTGAACTCTTGACTATTCTGAGCAGCTCAAGTAAGTGGAATCACAAAGCATTTGTCCTCCTGGGTCTGGCTGATTTCCCTGAGCCTAGAGTTCTCAAGCTTCACCCGTGTCGTAGCATATATCAGCTTCACTCATTTTCACGGCCACATAGCCCATCTTGCATRTGTGTCATGTCGTGTTTGTCCATTCCTCTGTTGATGGACACTTGGTTTTTTCCCACCTCCTGGCTGCCAACCATCTGAGTGTACAAATATCTGTTTGAATCTCTGCTTTGAACTCTGTAGGGTGTACTCAGCAGTGCAGTTGCTGTCATACAGTAAGTATCCCGTGTTTAACCTTTTGAGAAACTGCCAAACCATGTTCCATAGCAGCTGCACAATTTTACCGTCTATCCAGCAGCAATGCCCAGGGGTTCCGACTTCTCCACCTTTGCACCAGTACTGTTTTATCTTCTGGTTCATTGATAATGGAACAGGTGGTGGCTCACTGTGGGTTTGGTTACATTACCCTAGTGATARTGGTGCTAAGCTTGATCTTAGTGGCCATTTATCTTCTTTGGAGAAATGTCAAGTCCTTTGCTCATTTTTGAGTTGCAAGAGCTCTTTACATATTCTCTATTTACCCCTTATCAGATATAAGATTTGAAAATTCCACCTACTGTGGGTAGTATTTTCACTCTGTTGATGTTTTTTGTTTCTCAGGAGTTATAAATTTCGAAGTGGTTCAATTTATATCTTGTCTGTGCTTTTGGTGTCTGTGCTTTTATTATCAAATTCATGGTCATGAAAATTTTCCCCCTTATTTCCTGCATTTCATATGTTTTATCTCTTCAGTTTAGTTTTTAATATCTTTTGAGTTAATTTTTGTGTTTTTTGTTGTGATAATAGATCTCACTGTGTTGTCCAGCATGATCTTAGTGTCTGGGCTGCAGTGATCCTCCTATCTCAGCCTCTTAAGTAGCTGAGTCTATGGTGCCATGGCACTGTGCCAGCTCAAGTTAATTTTTCTTTTGTTACGAAGCCAGTGTCTAATGTCTTTCTTTTGCATGTGCATATGCAGTTTTCCCTTCACCATTTGTTGAATTTTGTAATTGTCATTTTAAAATGTTTTTGCAAATGTGATATTCAAAACTGAAAAAATCTTGTATAGTGTACTCATTGTATTTTCAAAAGTATTTTATTTCACAAATAACTTTTATCCTGAGGAGTTTTAATTGTTCCAGAAGAGCTCTCTATGGTGCTGTTTATCCTTCCATAAAGGTACCCTTCATGTTCTCAGAATGCACACAGAGTGACTGTCAGTTAGAAAAACAATGCTCACTCATTTACTCTATTATGGTTTTTTAAAAAATATTTCTTAGCTGTTGATGGACTTTTATTTAATTCATTTATTTATATGTGGTACTTAAATTCGAACCCAGTGTTTCACACAAGTGAGGCAAGTGCTCTACCACTGAGCCACAACTCTAGCCCTATTATGATTTTTAATTGAAGGCATATTTGCAGCTTCAGTTTTAAGACTAAATAGTTTTATGCAGAGTATTTCTGTGAATATCATGAAACTTCCTAGGAAGCAGGAAGAGGAATTGAGGCCTTGAGAGTCCTTGTCTGAGGTTGTGTCTGAGGTCGCAGGGAGGGGGCACTCTGGTGTGTGCCGGGAGGCTTCCTGTTGCCTCTCAAGTGGTAGGTAGCAGGACGTTGGAAGGTGGGGCCTGGAATATGGATGTACATTTTTAAATGTAAAAGAACTTAATTCCATTCTAAGATCATTAGATGGCACACTGCTTCTGTCCATGTTGCCCTCCCCAGCCTTCCCACTTAAGTGTAGGAGTCCACCATGCCAACATCGCCAGACGAGTCAGTCTCCAAATACATTTTCCCAGGGTAAAGCCTTTGCTCTCCCCACAGACTTGGGCCACACTCAGCCTGAGACCCAGTGTTTGGGTTCCCATCGGATGGTCTCTGCCTAGCTGCTGTGCATACAGGTGTACTGCACAGTGGCCAGCACAGAGGTGACAGGTCCCTGCCAGAGGGAACGTGTTGCCCACCCACCTGCTAGCCCTGCAGGAAAGTGCTTCCTTGAGGTTGCCCTCTCTGTTGCTTGCACCAGCAGACTTCTTTCAGTTGTGCCTCATATCTACCCTTTCCTTGAATTATAAATTCTTAAAACAGTATTTCTTGGCTCTTGTGGAGTGATAGGCCACTTTGAGAATCTGATCAATCTCCTCTACACAGAAATGCTCATAAACATGTATCCACCATCTCATACAATTTCTGGGAATTTGTAGGATCCTAAGATTGCTAGCTTGCTGGTAAGCAGCCCTCTGCTCTGTTCTCGAGAACCACATTTGTTGACTGTGTGTGGCCT